TTGATGAAAGTCAGTGGGTGTTGGGTTTGCCCTGTGCGCGTTGTCGATTGGGTTGCAGTTTCATGAATTATTCCGACAGCCGCACTCCCGTCATCAATGTCTAAAAGCCGTTTCTACTCTGACTTGAGCACGAAACCGCATAAGTACATTATCTACTGCATACAAATAAGCTGCAAAACCACGGTTAATTAGCTCAAAATTAAACTCACCATACCATTTCTGTAATAGATGAACTTAATCTACCTCGTTCAAGTTGTTATTGGAGATATTTACTGCCCCTTACTAACTCCACCTTTAGAAAGGAAGAAAATCAAATCACCATCTCTGTAAACGTGCTTAAAAGGTACGATTTCCTTGTATAATTTCTATTGACAATAACCTTTTTTTTCCTTTTTACAATACAAATATTTGCACAACTATTTAAAATGTCACCTTCAGGTTGTTGCACAGTTTGCATTAAAAGTTGCTAAATTTGCCCAAACGATATTTTTACAATAGAGCACTGACATCCAGCACTTCACATCGGTTACATTACCCCTTCTAGCCCCGCCTACAAGCAGACATTTGTTCTTCGAGGTCTTCATATACGATTACACATTAGTATGCATTGACAGTTGATTGACAATCCGCCCCTCTCCCATGTCACCGCTCGTGTCCCCCACCGCCTCTTGATGCCTATTGATTTTCCGTCACAGTGGTGCATTTAAACTGGTCTCTTCCATTGTGCTTGTCCAACTGCATCAACTGCATAAAGATAAAGATAAGTCAAGTGATTCCAATTAAGTATTCAATCCTGGAAACAATATACCACAAGACAATAGCTGAAGTAGAAAAGAAGCGATTGATAGCAGCGTTTGACACCAACAATGGGAACTTCGTGTCTATCAGTCTGGCTTTTAGTTGACCCATTGTGGGCATTCCTTGCAGAAATAGTGGTCAGGAGGTTGTACCAATGTATCATCATATATTAAAGTGTATGCATTCATCTTACTTTATGTCGGACCACAGAGCAGAAAAAGAGGAGGTTTTGATTGCACCTATGCATTCTGCATCTAATCAAGATTATACGGATCGCAATGCGACTCGGTTAAATTAAACAATGGGTAGGTGGTCCTCAGGAAGGCGGAGCTAGCCTTAGAAAAGATTATCTCTACGTCGTTTATTAATAACTGTACCGGGTAAAAGTCAGTAATGGTATTTTATCCCGTCTGCTTTATTGACAAGGCGTCTGCTTGTACCACCAATCCAATTTGCAAAGGCTTGTACTTTTATGTGGAAAGTAAAGGGCAAGCCAAAAGTCGAAACGATTGACTTTTTATGATGTGACTTATCCGTGGTCAGGAAGTTGGCAGTGAGTTAAGCGATTTGTTGTATGGCCTGGTCCAAGAAAATATACTTCTCACCTTGTCATGGATAAATAGCTCCAACTCTTATGTCCATTTTCCCCAGAGGAGAAGAAAGTTGGAGGAGAAGTTAACTACGCTTCATTTCTCCTCTGGCATGCCTTCCGAGCCACTGGTCACATAACACCTTAGAGGACTTAGTACTGATCCATTCAGACTGAAGCTACTCGGTGAGGCGGAAAGGCAAGAGATGATGGCATTGTTCCCCACACTCGGTCTGGTTACTCCTCGTTGGCATTTTTGAGTGATTAGTCAACTTCCTTTCCGATCATTTAAGGGTAAACAGGCCTGTCAAAAGTTGAACACACTGCCAAAGTGGTCAAAAAGATCTCATTAACTTTCATCATTTTGTTAGACTAGTTTATGAGAGCCAAATCAACTTTTTGTGCTAATGACCGCACTTCATTACGGTTTGATAAAATCTCTAGTTGATTACGGGAGGCGAAGGGAAATGCCAAACTGTCCTCACTACACGATATCACCCATCCTAAAGGGTTTCGAACAGATGCTTGTGCCTTAGGCCTTGCCGGCAGTATGGAGAGTAGTCATACCAGTTACACCTGCTCTTTATCCAAAGAGCAGCTAATCATCCAAATCTGTGTCAGCATTTTTATTTTGTAATTAACTAACTTGGTAAGTAATGGAAGCAAAGTTGAGTTGTAAGGGTGTTGGTTGTTCTGATGTCGTATAGCACCGGGAGAACCGCCTCAGGATATTCGAATGCGTGTGAGTGGGCCCACGTCTCTGGAAATCACATGGGATGCACCACAACTGTCGAATGGAAAAATATTGGTAAATGAGCATTCCAAAATTAGCAGTATCAACACTCACTGTGGGACATTTCCCTGAGTAGTGCCCTGTCCTTTACTTCCAGGGCTATAAAGTTTACTACACAACAAGAAAGGCCTATCCTCTGAGCGCAAGACAGGTGAAGAGAACGCCAAATCAAAAGATTCGCCTCGAAGACCTCCTCCCAAATGCCACCTACATTGTTTCCATCAGTCCTTACAACGCAGCTGGTGATGGACCGATGAGTGATGACCACTACAGTCTCATTTTGCCTGGAGGTAAGTCAACATCGCATTTAGTAAGTGCTCAAGTTCCCCGTAACCCTTCCTGGCGTAACTTATGAACAAAGGTTTCTGTCTGCCCTCGGAAGAGATGCATTGAATGATTAACACATCAACACAAGTTGATGTGATGTTCATTTGATGATCTGAATGAATGACTCTGACCCCATTTACTCACAACCAACCGACCTCGACCTTCAAGGGGTTATCAATATTCGTTGAGTTCATCTCCAACTCCCAAAAACTACTAAAGGGGACGAAGCTCGACCACAAGCCTTTGGAAAATTCAAATAAACCTTCTGGAAGAATGAATAGCGTCCTTCCCACTTCCGGTGTTACCTTCCATCAGGAAGACAGTCACTGCTTGAGCAATCCTACACATAACCGTTCTACTTTCCTTCTGTCCAAGCTAACGACCACAGCAGGCAAACAGGGTTACTCGCTTTTCAGGTCACGTAAACACCAAAATATGAATGAATTCGACAGTACAAATGTAGCAGTATGTTGGAAACTTAATAATTTTTTTTGCAAGTCCTTCTGACATGCGATTTGGTGTGTCACCAAACAAATTTATCTGTCCAAAATGTGACCAAAAACCCATTACTGTTGATGGTTAGTTTGAAAGCCATTTAAGGTGTATTTGGCCCAATTGTAGCAGTAAAAAAAAGGAGACGATAAAAAAATGAGAGGTGAATAAAATGAAAGAGAAAAAGATAACACCACTAACGATTCAGTAATTTTAGAGCCTCCCGTCATCTCTTTTACGATCGATGATTTGGAATCACGGATTTAATGACCTCTAATAAAAATTGCTATAAATTCTTGGCTTCCCTTGAACGACCAGATGCAACAATTCCATTTTTTTCGGCGACTGGTTTCATTAAGGTCTGCTGCCTTTCCCTGTCGTCAAAAATGTCAAAAAATGAGGCAACATAAAGGAGGAGTAAAATGGAATACAGTCCGCTTTATTGGAGCGAAGGCAGCGGGGAGGGCGGAGGAGGAGAAGGAGGAGGAGGAGGAGGAGGAGGAGTAGGAGAATTCCGATGTAGTCATGATAGCAATTTGAATGAACAATAAAATGAAGCCTATTTTTACACCGTCTGGCGACGAAGTATCTGCTCCAGCCTAGTGGTGCCTCCTTTATGACAACAAAAGTCCCATCAGATGTCGCAGTCAGGTCATTTGTACTGGCCAGTGGGTTAAAACAGCCCGTTGTGTCCATTAACGATCATGTGTTTCACCCGCCGGCAGGGGCGGAGGACAAGTGACGTGGAGGAGGATCGCTTTTTGAATGCATTACTGCCATGGATGGTGAGAGTCCACTGAAAGGCACTTAAGCCAAATGCCAAACAGGTAGTCACATTTGGCTATTTTGCTATAACAAAATACCGGAAACACCACTTTTTTTACTAATTTGTGCGTAATTCTGCGGATGTTTTCTTTGAAACCGTCCTCTGTGTCTCTTTGCGTGGAAATGGAAGACACGCTGGCCTATGCCGTTAGGGTCGTAGAGTCACCGGAAGAACTGAATGGCCCACGTAGTTAGGGGTCATTACTAAAACAACAAATGTTGGCGCCATTTTTTTTTTTGCAAAATGTGGAGGTTTTCATTACCCTAATTAAAGTGTGCACAAATTTAAACTAATTTGGTATGGGAATTTTATTTTTGTCTCTGGTGTATATTTAAATTGTACGTCGCTGCACTCCATGACCACGGCTTTATAATTAATGCCTCAACTGGCGTATTGCTCATATGATGAATAAATAAATGATTAAGCATTTGTGTTTTATTTTCGTAGACGCTATTTAGTAAAATGTAGGCTATTTTGAGGTTTTTCGTGACAAGCTGACTTTTGGGCTTTCGAAGGCAGCGAGGATTCCAGATAGTGTCGAGGTGCGAACACCTTCTCCGATGCCTTAGCAACAAGTTTGACCGGCTGGTAGATTGGCAACAGTGGAGGTTGAGAGGTAAAAATAGAGTGCGTAGGCAAGGTAGGGAAGTGAGATATGTAATTTCTCATGGAGTCAGAAAAGTGAGTCACTAAAAAAAAGTTATTTATTTAACCGGACCCCTTAAGGTAAGGCGGTTTGATGTTTTTGAAGTCTCCAGAGAGCATGCCAAATGGTTCTTTTAATTCCACCATAATTATCTCCATCATAATCTACTGCTCAGAATAAAATAGGCCTGTATTTTCTCGAAACCCTCTTCTCGGAGGGTCCTACGAGATAATTTCTAATGTAGCAATGAAAATGCAACAAAGATGAATTCGAAAGCAAAGAAATGGAAGTGTCTGTTAAGGAGAACGAATGCCAAATGGTATAGCATTCAAGAATTATTGTCGTTTGTGCGTCGGAGGGCTATTAAGTAGAGAGACAGAAGCAACACAATGGCGCCACCAAGACCTGGTCCGAAAAGCGCTTGGTCCACGCCTAACTGGGGGAACTATTGTGCGCTCACTCCGAATACTCTCTAATTGACTCGTCGGAACTATCGTCGTCATCGGCATTCTCATCCGCCCATTGCCTTTTGGCCTCGACAGAGAGCTTTAATTACACGTATCCGCTTCACAATCCTCGATTACAAGTCGCTCGCCGACTCTATTCACCGTGGCGTGGGGACTATGCACAAGGAATGCCGTTTTATCAATTATTCTACCTGTGGATTGAATCGTGCATTTGGAAGTTGTTTTGTGCTAGCGATAAAACAAAATACTCAATTTGGAAAGAGTGATTCGATTCAAAACAAGTTCAGCGGAAGGAACCTATTTTTAGGCATCTGTATTACGTCTGATGACTTCTCTATTTACAAGAGAAGGCAGATTATTCAGGTAGGATCGAGGGAGCGTTTGATATGGTCAGCTCGATGAAGGCAATTTACCCACTCATTTGACCGAGACCGAAACTGTAAGCTAAACCAAGTAGTACAATGCTAAATCACACCACACCTAAGGATACGTACTGCCTACAGTGGGAATTTTCTAGGAATAGTATTTTTAGGAATGCAACTTTGGCATCCTCCAAGGCTTGAATGCTTTTTGCATTCTTCAGGCGACTACCGCGTAGGTCATAAGTCATGCGATTGTACATTTTAACTCGAATGAACCGCAGACTGTAATACCTTCTTCCTTCGACTACTTATTGATAGGCCATCACGTTGGCATTTTTCCTGCCTCTACTGAGTGGATTGGCCTTTGGGTGAAGCCCAAGTGCCACATCTTTCCTGTCCCTCTGAATACAAGCATTCAGCCTTCTACTATCAAAATTGAAAAACATGAGACGCTACAAAGGCAATGGATTTTCTCGTAAAATGGTTTGCATCACTTGAATCCCATAAAAGTAATCTTCCCATCTCCAATCTTGCAAGAAGTGGTGACAGGCCAAAGAGCAGAAAAGGTGGGAAACTATTAGCCCGAACTCAAACGCCATGGTGTAGAACGGAAGTACACGTTGTGAGAAGTGAAGCTCACCCACCAGTTCAAACAAGCGGTTAAACATAAAGCTGACTTAGAATTTTGTTCTTCTGGGTACCTTTTTTGATGAACAAATCACACATACACACACACGCACTCCTGCCATTGCCATGAGTCACAATCACATTCAAATAAAGCTGCCCGTTATTCCATTACAATTTTAAAACAACCACCAAACTCTACATGTAACAAGTTCCATTTTTACGGATTCTTGAGGCTTTTTAAGGAAGTCTTGTAGGCAATGCATGGTTTTTTTTTCCTCAAAAGAGCGAATTTTTTTCGATTTGTTTTGTGAAGGCTTTCCTTTCCCATTACTTGATCAACTTTGCCGTTGTTTGAAGTAACCGGCACCCGTGGTGGGCATTTAAGTAGTTCCCTACGAAAGGTCAAATTTTCGTTTTAATTTTCGTTCCAATGAAGGTCTTCAAATGCATCAGTCTTCCTGGTCGTGTAATTTTTAATTCGTTTTCTTTCAAAATCTCTGAGGTGACACCTAAGCCCGAGTAATAAGTTGAGAGGTTTTCTTCAGGTTTTCGGCCAAAAATTCTTGAATATAAAAGTAAAATTGCGTCAAAAATTAAGTTTAATACCTTGAGACTTTCCTTTTGGCAGGAGGAGGCATTAAGTTGGGCTGATTGCATGCGCTTTTAGAGAAAAAGAAACTGAGCCACGACCTGGCTAAGACAGACATAAGGTAGCCACACAAACACGACATTACTTAAGTAACCTTTGTAAATTTCGTCTTCAGGCTTTCTCTCTAAGGGTGGGAAACGATATTTTAGCAAAGAAGGGAAAAGCCCTACCCACTTGACCTGATTTTATGCTCTTGTCTTGAGTGAGCTTATGACTCATCTTCTTCTTCCTGCTTCGGCTCTAGTCTAAGACACCAATCAGTCTTTTTTCACCTTGACCTGTTCAACTGTTGTATTTTTTTAGGGATAGATGTTTCCTTGCATTCCTAAAATACGATTTATGACAATTAAGGCTCTTGTGGATATTCAGGAGCCAAAATCTCAAACCGATTTCAACTGTCTTAATTGTGATAGATGAATGTTAGACAGAAATTACAAAGTAAAAAGAGATAAAAAATTGAAGGTAGAGGAGGTGGAAGATGGTGAAAAACTCTTTATTTTTCAACACTTCTCTTCAGACTCAAATCCACACCTCACGTGTGATCGGGTGCTGCAGGGAGAAGACAATTTAGAAGCTGAAGAATTGTTTTTCACCGGTATTTAAGTAGTATCGAGAGGGGTTAGATTTTAGTCCAGATGGCGATTTGCTTTTCTATTAATGATGTCTGCTAGCCAAAATTGCCAGACTCTACACAGAAAACCAGACATGCTCGCATCTTCGGTGTCTCAGGCGGTGAGCTGATCACTTCCGAATGAGTGGCGGTGCATTTATTCGCTTAACACCTCCTGCAGGACAAAACATCTTTCGGTCCAAACAAATAAGTTGGTTTGTTCTCTGGAAGAAGCCAAGTCTTTAAAGTTTAACTGATGGTTTTGTACTGCTGTAAAGCCAGGGAGATATGACAACGCCTATGGGGCTAAAACACTGGGCAAATTCCCAGTTTACGAGTTGGCCTTAAT